TTAGAGAAGACTAAGTCAAGTAAGTTATGGTTGACAACAGCTACACAATACTGCGAAGAATAATCATAATAATAATAATAATAATAATAGAGGTGGAATGGAACGTGATATAACCACATTATCAGAGCATTAGAATGTCTGCATGACGTGTGTTTTCACACTGAATTCTATTACGGTTTTGTGAATATTTCATTATTCTTCCATTTGAAAGATATTTTCTGCAGGAGGCTGGTGAATGTGGCTGATTCGTCATAACTGGATACTGAATATAATAATACTGTAGCTGGCAGCAAGGGTGAGAATATGAGTCTGATAATGAATGAAAGATAGATTGATGTATTTGTGTAATGTAATTTAACCAAACTTATAGTATACTGTGCTAGAATACCACTTGTATTGACAGCATTTAACAGAGTTAAGCAAATATTTCAGATCTGGATACGTGCATGACATTTTAACAGAAGCTTGATTGTATATTAAAAAATACAAATTGAATTTCAGGCTCTTGCCGAAAAGGATGGACTATATCGGTTACGTGCATTTGTCCAGGCACTGGATGGCAGAGAAACATCATTTCTTACATTTGTGAAAGCAGTAAGTTTTGTTGGTAGACACATTTCTGTTTTATTGCCAGGTTACACTGTTTTGTCTCTGCATTTGAAGTAACAAAGTAAGGTTAAAACTGAATTATCATACTATTCTTATGTTTAAGGATCCTTATTTTGTGGTTTTTGTCATTTGTTTGTAGTGCTCATTGGCTGAATCTCACTTGTCAGACATTTTAACAGTATCACTGGACCATACAGGGTCAGTGATTGCAGTTTCCATGTCAACATCACCAGCCATATGTGAAGGACGTCATATTAGTCATGAACATTTGCAGCATTTCAATACTACTGTATTTGTCAAGCATATGGAGCAAGGACCTGTGTAAGTATTTCATACTAAAGTAACTTACCAGTTTCATTGGATGTTGTTCTCTTAAATGAGGATAAATTTAAAGTGAAGTTCATATGATTGTATAGTATGTTATAGTAAGCATTATATCTTGGGTTTCTTAAACATTGCTATGCAACAGTCTCAGACTTCGTCTCTGGTTTTTTTTATATTTACTGTAGTAAACTTACTCACCTGTTTCACATCAAGTATATTTGTAACTCTTCAGGATTTTCATGTAGTTTATTTGCCTGTAGTATACTTTTCTCATTTTCTAAAGAAAAACAAAATTAATGTCATGAAACATCAGGGTTATATCTGAAAGACTGAACATGGTCAGAATGTATAGTAATAGAAATTGTACACAGAAGTAGATTACTAAGTAGTGTAAATATTAATTTATATTTCTTATCAGGCTTACCACATAGTTCGAAACCTTTGGATGATATTCTTTTGAGAACTTTTCATTCATAAGGGAAGAAAAAGGCTGTCTCCAAGGAAGGTATACTGGCATGGGATAAAGAAATATCTTCTAGAAGTTCTGAGGCCCCTTTGGCACTTCGAGTAATTTGAAAAGTATTGAATACTGTGTACATGAATTTGAATAGTTTTCAGTAGATGTGGTTTTTGATGGCAGATTATTGTTTGAGATTCTGTATGTAACATATTGTGGCATATAGACTTGCTGCTAAGCAGTGACTCTGTAAACAGTAACTGTGTCTGGTCAGTAGCTCAGTAAACACATTCCCATTGCTAGGCAGCAGATTCTTAATAATGCAACAGCATATGAGCATGAACAGTGTTTTCTAAGTGGTCTGTGCCTGGGGGTTGTAAGGAAGGCAATTTAGACAACCAAGTTAGTTGTCACTTCAGTAATTTCTGCACAGAAGGCTGTGAAGAGAGTACTTGAGCACATTGACCTGAAGAATCTCCACTGTTACAAGCCATTTCTAGGGAATGGATGGTGAAGACACAGCAGGCTTGAAAAGGCTTAGTGGTGCTGTAGTTATTTGTGAATTGTGGAGATAAGCAATGGCACTGTAATTTAAGTGTAATTACAAGTTGTGTGTTAAAGTGGTCAACAAATGCAATATCCAGTCCAAAACCTTGTTGAGAGTCACTCATACACATGATATTGTATTGTGTTTTGAATATATTATATCTAGAAATGATAGTTTCATGAGAGAAAAATATAGGGTTTTTTAAGTTTGAGGGACCTTGGCTTGTAAAATTATTGGTTTGTTCATGTTATCTTTTCTGTTTCTAATGTTGATGCTGAAATATTCCTGTGTATCTACAGAGTCATGTGGAAAGGTGAAAAAAAACAGGGGAGAAAACTGACATGAAAGTGAAAATGGCAGTCAAAGAAAAATATTTTTTTTTTAATTATGGCTTCCCACCTGAAGATGAGGCAGCAGGTTCCTCCAAAATATTGATAAATATTTACCAGACTATACAGCTGGAATAGCATAGTCAGTGTAGCGACAGGCTGTGGGCTGGATGACCTAGGGTTCAGAGTTTGAGTCCCAGCAGGTTCAAGAATTTTCTCTACTCCATGTCATCTAGACCAGCTGTGGGCCTGCCCAGCCTCCCATCCAATGGGTACCGGGGCTCTTTCCTCGGGTGAAATGACCAGAGCATGAAGTTGACCGACTCACCACCAATTAGTGCTGAGGTCAAGAAATTGTGGATCTGTACATCTACTCCCCCATAGTCCTTGATGGTGTAATGTTTAATTAGTTAAACACAGGGGCAACTTTACATTTTTACCTTACATCTGCGCACTCCAGCAGACAGTAATCAATTTATGTTAAGACAGGATGTAATGGCTTGTGTATTGTATTTTTGGGTCTGAATATATTACAGGATTGCTAATGTATTAGGTTCTCCTTAGTACATGTTTCATATTGGAATAAATTGTTTTAATGATGTGCAGTTTTTGTTTTCTAAACATGATATGTACCTGATATGCTGGTTTCAGTCCTGACACTGCTGCTTATATTCAGAAATTGGAGAAGGAGAGGGAAGCAAGGGAGAGGGGAGAAACAAAAGATAATCGGTCGTTCTTGGCTAAATATGTAAGTTACTTGGAGAATTTTCTTCAGAGACTCCTTAATATAGCCATGTATATGATTATCTGTGTTGTTTTCTTTTTTATACAGATGGCAGTGTTTTAAGTGCTGAAAGTACATTTTCAAACTAAGGACTTAAGAGTACAATTAAAAATGATGTAAATCTTGTCTGCTAAATTCCATTGATCTTATTTATAATAACTTTTCCCAATCAGAAATGTAGGTAGAATTTCATTGCATTGGGCAAAGTTTTTATTCCACATATGTGACAGTAAAATTGGAACTTATTACCCTAATTGATCCAAACTTCTGCCTGTTAAAATTAGAAACAAGCCCTATTAATTACAATTCACAAAATAAGCTTGTTAGCTGAATGTCTGTTACAAGTGATGCATTATTCTAAACTGTGTATGTTTATTACTATAGGATTCTGATGATGGTGTATAACACACTTATATGTTGGGTTTTTGGACTTTATCCATCGTCCTGGTTTTTAAGATAACAAAAAAAACACTACGTTTCGGAAACTGGATCTGTTTCCGTCCTCAGGTGAAGGAAAACACCTATTCAGTTGGGTCCCTTAGAAAGAGCTAGCCTCAATCACTGNTTCCTAGCCTTGTATGTTGTTCAGGGGAAGCACTGGAAGGTCAGGTGCAAATATTATCAGTGTGAATTCATTACCTTCATCTTTTATGTCCAGAAATCTTAGCATGACATGTTATTGAATTCATAAACCAGTTCCTTTCATTATCTATTAAACCTCAGTATTATGGTCTGTAGCACTTTAGTAATTACTGTTCATAATTATGTAAACATGGTGAACCAAAAATTTAATTGTATTTTAAGTTTAAAACCTCTGAATTTTAAGATAAGGAAGATTTACAGAGCTGTATATCTATCTCTCAGGCTTTAGAAATATTGAATGAAAGTTTTAACCTCACTGAAGGCACTTGATCAGTTCTTTGTATATCCTGGATTTTCTTCTGCAGCCATGACCTTGACTGAAGGTGTGTTTACATTGCAAAATTGATCCATGTGTTTAAAATTTTGTATACTCGGTTCAGTCTGCATAATCTCTTCTCAGAACATGAAGAACATTATTTAAATGATAGAAATCTACTAGGTTTATTATTATTGGTAAACTTTTGTCGAGGACATGTAAAATGTGTAAATGTAAATTCAGACAAGCTCATTCCCAAATACATGCAGCAGCATTGAAAAATTATGTGTGTGTGGCCTAACTGTATCAGTGGTAAGGTTTTCCCTGTGTTTTAGCGTTAACAGGAAGATGTATCGAGGTATGGAAATATTCTTAAACTTTACGCTGTATCTGGCCACTTTACCACAGTGAAAGAACCTCTGCTATTTGTTAAATAAAAAAACTGGGTTGCCTTCAAAGCTAGTTTTGATGTACTGATGGGGAGAAAAATTCCTATCTGTCAGTCATATCATGACTGTCAAACCCATATCCAGTTACTTGGGCCTTAACTGTTTAACTGTCCTGGCCCTTGGCTTAAGTTTCATGAGATGGAATTTTCATTAATCCAGAATCTTGGATATTCTTGCATACACATCTGAAAATGTTACTAGATTTTTAATAACTGATTTATATGATTATTTTATTATTAAATATCTTCAATGATTGTATGATGAATTTGGTAGTTTTCAGCACTGTTGTATTTTTTTTAGTAAAATTTTAAAATAACAGTAACAAAATCTGAGAATCATATAACACTCTTGAGTCTTTTCTCTTGTGTGATGATAAATATAATTGAGCTTAGAGCACAGATGAAGTGAATGATCCTGAATAATGTGCTATAAAATTATCTAAACAAAAATGTTTGTTTTTACAAGTGCAGTGGCCATGGAACCCAGTGCTAGTAAGCATTACAGTGTTTTGATTTTGACAGAAATTCCTTTCCTTACAACATTTACATTTATTCTGGCAGAATTATAAATGGATTAGGCTGCATGTAAAAAGTAACTCATACTGTAGTTCAGGATCAAAAATGGATGCCAGTCAGGAAAGAAGTGTAAAACTATCTTAGCCATTTTAACCTTGAGACTTTTGAGTATGAGGGAAATTTTCCAGAGAAATGTTGTACTTTTGATGTATTCATTATGGAAAAGCACTATTTGACCACTACATTGATGAACAAATGATTGCTACACTTGAGGCTCACGTATAGCAAGACATTTGCAGCATGACAGTGGACTGTTGATTGTCTTGCCCAATAAAGTAGATGTGCTGTGAGTAACCAAGAACACAGCCATCCACTTCATACTACTTTGTGCATCAACTAGTTGAATAAAATGAAACATAAGTCACTAATAATCTTTGCTTGCTTTGCGAAATAAATTGTTTCACTTTTTTCCAGTGGTGTAGATTCATGTCCCGTTCTCTTGATTTACCACATTTGCTGGCAGTAATTATGAGTTGTGCTTTTATAATCACCATCAGTGTTGCTGAGGTTTGCACACCTAGCTAATTTAAAGTCAGATTCTCTGTTAAATAGCCGTAGAATGTGGAGAAATTACTGTATCAGCCTTTATTAAAAAGCAATGAGAACTTGATTTCTGACTGAAACAGAAACACAGGTACAGCAGATTAATTCAGTTTTGTAAGGTTGAGGAACTGTTTAATTTTGTTTCAAGAAACAAAGATGTTATGCTGGAAAGAGTAAATGACAGATATGGTAAGGAATTTTTGTTACATGTTGCTATTAGATTTAAAATAATTTATATTTTAAGGGATCAAATTATCCCAAACAGGACCAGTGAAAGAGCTTGATGCAGATGGTAAATTCCAATTTAAATTCCCAGAGCAGGGACTGTGGTAACACATTATTAAATTCATGTAGTATCGTGCTAAGTTAGTCCATTATTAACGTTCATTTCTGTTAAAATCTTAAAATTTTTGCTCTCCTTGTCATCATTCTTGTTTCCATGCAATTTCTAACACTCCATTCAGATTTTTTGTTTGAAAATGATTTAAGTGAATTTTATTATGCTTGTACTGTAGATATGGTACATTCTTCTAATTTGATTTTTTACTTGCAGTTCATAAAAATGATGCATTGACTGAAATATATATGTTTTAATCTACAAGCCAGAAGGTCGCGGGATCGAATCCCGGTCAGGTCATTGGATTTTTTCAATTTACCTATTCCTTCCAGCTGCACTACGGCCCTGGGGTCAACCCAGCCTCTAACAGAAATGAGTACCAGGAATATTCTTGGAATGTTCTTGGGGGTTAAGGCGGTCAGCGCGTAAGGCTGATAACCTTACCCCCATCTATGAGCCGATTATCTAGAAAATGTGGGAACCTCAACATCTCACAACCCTATGGGCCCCCGCGGTCTGTTACAGGGATATGTTTACTTACTTTACTTTTACTTTAATATGTGTTATTTTATTAAATGAACCCATTTGTTAGGGAAAAGAAAAAACTGGGTGATTTTTCAGAACAGAAAATGTACAGGTAATTAGTTTATTGTATGAGGAAGAAGGAAATACATAAATTGTATAGTAGAACTTAAAGGACATGAAAAACATTTGACCACAAATACCTTGCTGTTAATGAAGTGGACGTTTAAAACAATACAACTAAGGCTTAATATAAAATAAATATGCTTTTGTTTGCATAAGCAGAGTTTATTTTATTGGTAATTTATCTTGCAGAAGTGTCAGTTATTTGATACTATAAGAAATGTATGTCTCTTAGAAATTGCCAGGATTGAAAGTGGTTGTTTGTTTACTGGCATAACAGTTCTTTAAAAATATTAGTAAGCATTTTGAAATTGTTAAAAATAAATGACAGTTTGTGGCTTAATTGGCTTAATTCACATATACAATCAGAATTTTTACTACCTGTGTATACTTTGCAATAACATGTTTTTTTTTCTCCCCCCCAGTGTTGGTTTTAAACAGTGTTTTTATGTATATATCATTGAATATAATGATGGAAGGTGTAAAGAGTGTTAGATTGAATATAATAAAAGAGTTCTGAATGGGATGATTATATCATTATGTTCATGGAAATCTGCATTTATATTAATCAGATTTTCAGTTTTAAAATGTAAGTAATGATTTGTGAAAAGTGTTACCAAACCTGAGACCTGCAAACTACAGGTTACTAAACTTGACTTTACTATTTTGGGGTATCATGTCAGGGAGAAGAATTTTCTGTCTGTTGTTTGTAAGTAGCATTCTTGCAAATATTATAACATAAGAATGTAGTATGACAAAGAAATTTTTACTTTGAATCATTTTTTAAAAACTGTTTACAACTATTAGGGTTGAGTATGAGGGGTGAGCTATAAGAACTGGCCCTCGCACTACGACCTTCAGTGATCTATTGTGCTTCCCTTTTGGATTATCCCCTACACTTTGAATGAAATGTAGGACTTTATTTATGGGGACGTCATAAAAGTCACTTGTTTCCATGAAGAGTTGACCCAGGTGGCGATATCTTAGGTAAGCTATAGCCTCACAATCACATAAGATGTGTGTTGCTGATTCATCTTCTTGTAGGCACCTTTCACATGTTGGGTCGTCTGTCAGTCCCAGTTTGAAAAGGTGCCCTTTTAGGTGGCAGTGTCCAGTAAGTAATCCTACCACCCATCTTAGCTGATGTCTGTTTAATTTTAACAGTTCCCATGTTCTTTTGGCAGAGGGTCCTGATATAAATCCTTGTGCCTCTTTGAGTCCAGTCGTGGATTCCCACTGTTCTTTTGTGATTTCTGTTAGTCCAGTCCCTGATCGCTTTCTTGGCAACTCCAATTGACATGCCGCAAGCTGGTTCAGGTCCTATGAATGGTTGTTCAGATCCTGTTCTTGCCAGCTGATCTGCAGTTTCATTCCCAGCAATACCCTCATGGCCTGGCACCCATATCAGCTGCACTGTTTTATGTCTGGCCAGTTGTGTGAGGGACTGGTGGCAGTCTCAAGCCAATTTTTAAGTGATTTGGTGTGTACCAAGTGCTTTGATTGCAGCTTGACTATCTGATAGAATATAGATATTCCTATTTTTGTAGTTTGTATCTAAATTCTCAACTGTGCATGCCTTAATGGCATATACTTCTGCCTGGAATATTGTTGTATACTGACCTAGGCTGAAACTACGTTTCTGCCATTCCATCACAATAGACTCCAGTCCAGTGCCTTTATTTGTCTTGGAACCATCTGTATACCAGATTATTCCCCCCTTTCTATCGGGTGGAAACCCCTCTTTCCATTCACTTCTGTCAGGAAATCTGATTGTGAAGGGTTTATCATAGACATGTTTTGGTATCATTTTATCAGATCCCATCTGTAGTATGGGTTCCTTTTTCATGTCCTGAATCATGTATGCATGTCCAAAACCTTCAGATTTAGGTCTCCATTGATCATTGCAACGTAATCTGTAATTTCCTAACTTGGCCACTGCTTCCATTTGCAGATGCAGTGAGGGGAGTCCTGGTAGGATTTCCATTGCAGCTGTTGGAGCTGTTCTCATTGCTCCTGTAATTCCCAAGCAGGCTGTCCTTTGCAATTTGCTTAGTTCAGCCTGACTTGTTTTAAGTTTAACTCTAGGCCACCATATAGTGGCAGCATAGGTAATTATGGGTCTTACTACAGCAGTGTATATCTAATACACCACCTTTGGTTTCAGTCCCCAGGTTTTTCCAGACGTGCCTCTGCATGTCCAGAAGGCCTTATAGGCCTTGTTAATAGCCTTGTCCAGCTGTTTTTTCCATGTCAGTCCCTTGTCTAATGTTATTGACTTCATTGGATAGCCGGATCACTTGACTGAAGAGGATTGGTTTCTTAAGCCCCTTGATATTCCTCCTCCTAGTAAAAGGTATAAATCCAATCTTGTTTGGATTGATAGACAAGTTTGTTCTTTCGCACCACTGTTGAACTGTATACAGGGCTGTTTGTAAGACCTCTGATACAGTGTGCGGGAATTTCCCATAAATTAAGATTGCTGTATCATCAGCATATCCTACTGTGAAGTGGCCTGTACTGTTGAGCTCCCAAAGATCATCCACGGTCAGGCTCCACAGGAGAGGGGAAAGAACACCCCCCTGCGGACACCCTCTCACTGCAGACACTCCCAGGGTCTCTCCAGACAGTGTAGCACTTATATTCCTGCTTTCCAGCATGGCCCAGATCCATCTGCATATTGTGGGCTCAATGCCATGCCTTTCAGCAGCCTGTTTTATTGTATCAAAGGAGGTTCTGTCAGAGGCTCTCTCTACGTAAAGGAATGCTCCAAGAGCAATATCCTTGTGTTGAATAGCATTTTCTCTGCGTGTTACTACGTTATGCAATGCAGTTTCAGTAGATTTACCTATTTGGTAAGCATGTTGGTTTCGGTGCAGAGGATGAATTTTCAATGCACTGTCCCTAATATGTATGTATATCACTTTCTCCATCGTTTTCAAAAGGAAAGACAGCAGGCTGATAGGACAATAAGGTTTAGCCTCGGTATAATAACGTTTCCTGGGTTTCGGAATAAATGTCACTTTAACTTGCCTCCAGGCTGCAGGGATAAACCCATGTGCCATGCGGGCTCTAAATATGCGGCATAGGTGTGGGACTAAATGTTCCTCCCCTTGCTGCAGAAGTGCCACCACAGTACCATCTATTCCCGCAGACTTAAATGGTTTGAAGGTACCTGACGCCCATCTGATTTTTGATTGACTGATTACCTGGCCAGCCAGGTTCAAGTCTCCCCTTTTCGTTATGTATCCACATACGTCCAGGCTCTCCTGGTCCCGCTCATCACCTGAATCATCAATCAACTTTCTATCTGGGAAGTGAACTCTGCTGAACAGTTCCTTCAGAGTCTGCTCTCCAGTTTGGGTATACTAACCATCAGGCAGCTTGATATTACTGACCTTGTTGGTCGCCTGTTTTGCCATGACCCTCATGAGTATGGCACTGCCTGGTACATCATTGAACTCCTGGCAGTACCTCCTTCTTGAGGATCACTTGGCTTTCCTTATTTCTTTATTATAACAGGTGAGGGTTTCCTTGTAGGTGTCCCACAGCCATGTTCTTTTTGCTATATTAAATAGCTTTCTTGATTTAGCTCTTAGCCCACTCAGCTTGTTATTCTACCAAGGTAACTATTAGGGTTAATGTCATATATGATATCATATGTTTGGGTGAAGAATTAATAATGTATCATTAGAATACGTTTGTCTCCAAGAGGAAATATGACGTGTTGGTATAAGCAAAGACACAGTATATTTAACAATCACCATTATGTGAGTGTATTTTTATTATTGATGTGGTTTGGGGTTTTATAATTGTACTAACAATAGAGTAATGACTACAGAAAGATGTTAAATTTATGTCTGTTGTGTGATAAAAGTCTTGATATCAAGGATGTCTCCATTCTCTTTTTGCAGTGGATGTACATAGTGCCTGTGGTCATATTTGTGGTGCTGTCAGGGGCTGCTAATCCAGATGGTGGTGCAGGTACCGGTGGAGGTGGAGCTGGACGGTAGTGTCATCACATCAGCACATTGCAGCCATTATGAAGGCACAGGGTGACACTGGTTGCACCCTTTGTGTTCCTGATCTAACCTTTAGCTTTCATTATGAGGTGGTTGCAGCTTTGATTCTGGAAAGCAGATTTCTTACATAAAAAATGAAGAAAATTCAGTTTTTGTGATTGAAACAGTACTCTGCATATAGTAGAATTGTGCTCTTTGTGCAGTTATGTTTCTAAATATTAAATGATACAATAACAGACACTTATATGGGAACTCTCTGATAATAAGTAATGAAGTTTCTGCTAAATTCCGATGTTATTCTGAACTTAAAAAGCGACACATAACTTTTGAGTATGAAATCTGAAAAAGGAAAGGATAATGTACTAAATTTAGATACTAAAATGGAATAAAAGCCCACTTTTCTTATCACAACAGAGTTTGCAGTGCTTTGCTGAAGTATTTAAGTTTTTAAAGTTGTTAAGTTTGTAGATTGAAGGCTCAGAAATGTTCTGTATATCCTGCTGCATTTTGTATGGTGCTGTGCCCAGTCTTGAAGATAATTGAAAAAAAAAAACTTCTTTATTCTCCTTATTTTAGTATTTTTTAAATACTTGTGTTCAGGTTATAGATCACACTAAAAAGATTACTGTCTTCTGGGATTTGACGCTGTATAGATGGTAGGTATATTGGTGTTGATCTACCAGACTACATGGCATGGTATCCAGGTTACTAATCGTCATGGTCCTCATTATTGGAACCTAAAATCTCACATGATTATGCTCATATGTTCAAGCAGAGAATATTAAGAACACATAAATTCAAGTGACTCGTGCCTTTCTGCAGTATAATCAGACAGGAGGCATTAGAATACTCCAGTTAATTCATCTGTTTTTAATTAAAAAGTAATGTTTGAATATGTTATGTTACAGAGTTGTGTTTTATTATCTGCAGTGTTTAAATTCCGTTAGCTCATATGTGTTAGCCATTCACAACTTTGTTGATTGGTCCACAGCAACTTGGGGTTGTATCTTTATTGACCTCAAAATTTGCACTTTTTGTTACAGTTCTCAGCATAATTTGTTTATTAAGTGATGAAATTTTATGTTTCCATTTTTCAAAGAGTTCCAAATGATAGTTTTCTGTTTCACTGCTACATTATTTTAAAGGAAGAGAAATATCTTCCATAATTGTATTTACATCAAAGAGAATCCACTTTCACTGCAGCCAGCCTCCGTTAATCTTCACCAAACATATCCCATCTGCTACTGAGTTGCACTTCTAAATATTATCAATCCTAATTGTAATATTGTGTGTATGGTTTAATTTTATGAACCCTGACTTCATGCATGATAATGGTTTCTTTGTTCTCATTTGGTGGGTTTTTTTTTCCATATGGCAGTGCTGCTTTTGAACAGCTGATGGAATTACGTATACAGATACAAACACTGACACTCTGGTTCTGTTCATGTCAACTAAAATTCGGTACTTCAATTTTTTTTTTGTATTGCTTATGAAGTATAACTTAGGAAAAATGTAAAACCGGTGAGTTGCATACAGAAGGTCAGTACTAGTACTGTATGTGCATTTAAAATTTTTCTCTTCGTGGATTTACATAAATGTGAACTGATGCCGTGTACTTACTGCTAGGAAATGCCAGCCTAATAATGTTGAAAATTATATGTAGAACAAATTGCTTTAATTTGTATGAGTTGTAGTTCCATGTTTAAGGTTTTAGTTGCATGCTGGGAGCAGTTCTTTATTTTATTACTGTGCAAACAGAATTTTAAGTGTAGGAACATCATTGGTTTACTAATGTTGCAAAAGGTGCATGCTTGCATATTTGCCTTCTTAGCATGCCTAATTATGAGGTTGTGTTGCATTTTCTGGTAATGAAATATTTGGCATATTCAGAAAGCTAAGTTTGTCATCACCATCTTTTTATAAGAGTCTACCATATTTCACATTGCTCTATATATTTACATAATTTTATAATCATGCAGCTTTTCATGGTCCAGCATTTGATGGTGGTAGTATTTCTGTCGCTTCCAGAGTTTGCATATTTGTCATGTTGGAATTGTTGGTGATGGTTTAAAAATATGATATTTGAGTAAAGCCCAGTGGTATGACCTTCCTTGTATTTTGTATAGAAGTTTGTTGATACATTAAGAGGATTTAGGGCTATATGATTGAAATAAACAGAAATTTCAGGTTATGATGCATAAACAGAGAAAAAATTCATGACATCAGAATTGCATACTAGATTTATTCTTTATCTTTTAAAAAACTACAAATAATAAAAAAGTGCATAACTCTATGTCAGGTATATACAATATAAAAATTTGTGCATTAACACTCACTGGCATTTCACAGCCATCCATTCAGTGTATTGCATTTTGAGGAGACTAGACAAAACTAATAGTAGCAAAATTACTGTGACCAAAATGTTAAGGAAAGTTACTTACTTACTTATGGAGCTGAGCCCTTCTGGAGGAGCCGCCAATTCTGCAGCTACTCAAGAATTTCTCAGCATTTTATGGAACCCGAAGGCTCATTACCATGTTCACAACAGCCCTCCACTGGTCCCTATCCTGAGCCAGATCTATCCAATCCATACCATCCCATCCTATCTCTCTAAGATCCATTCTAATATTGTCCCCCCACCTATGCCTTGGTCTTCCCTGTGGTCTCTCTCCTTCTGGTTTTCCCACCAATATCCTATACACATTCGTCTCCACCATTCGTGCTACATGACCTGCCCCCCTCATCCTCCTTGACTTGATCATTCTAATTATACTTGGAGCAGAGTATAAGTTATGAAGCTCCTCATTATGCTCCAACCTCCTGTCACTTCATCTCTCTTCGGTCCAAATATTCTCCTCAACACCCTCAGTCTATCTATGTTCCTCCCTTAAAGTTTCACGCCAATGCAGAACCACAGGCAAAATTACAGTTTTGTATATTCTAATTTTTATGTTTTTGAACAGATGAGAAGACAAAAGGTTCTGGACTGAAAAATATTAATTTCATTAAGTCAGCGTAAAACACTTAATTTGTAAACAATCACATTGTAATTATTTTTACATGCTTTTTTGCATTAACTTACATAACTATTTGTCAGATATATATGATATCAAATCAAGTCACATTTAATTACCATGGTGAAATATGTATATGTATTTATAAAATTTCATATCTTACACTGAGTACTCCAAAATAAATACTTTAAAGCCATGTTTTCTAATCCTATACAGTAAATTCAGTGCCCATGCTCACTATTAGATTGGCCTACAATGAAAATGTTTGTTTTTTTTTTTTTTTTTTTTTTTTTTTTTTTTTTTTTTTTTTTTTTTTTTTTNAAACTTAGGTCACTATGTTACAAGGTTGTAATATTTATCTTAAGTATAGCGTAGTAAATAAGTCTCTGTTCTGTTGTTTGGGCAAAAATTAAGATTTCTACATTTTTCTTTTGCTTTTGTCAGATACTGGTGCTAAATTGTTAAACCTATAATTCTAGAGGTAGAGATATGAGTTCGCTATACTGGAAGTCTGTGTCATCAGGAAGTGGAAATTCCAATGTAATTATATCCGATTCATATGTGGTGAGTGCCAGGTTGGAAGATCCAATGTCACCCACTTGCCCAAGCAGACCTGATTCTTCCACAACTTCTTCCCTTGACAGTGGATTCAGGAAATCTGAAACAGTATTTATCTTCTGTTACATTTCACATATTCTCTATATTATATGCTTTCATGGATGTATTATAATTTGAACAAGATACTCATAATAGGAATACCTTAGTGGCAAAGCAAGGTATGTAAGTATTATATAATTCACTGAAAATAATAAACGATTTACTGAGTATATGTTATATCCGTACTTTTATATTTAACTGTCAAAATGTCAACTGCAATGTATGCCACAAGGTTGGAAAACCTTCATTTTTATATGCTGTTCGTTCTTGAAAGCTGAAGTTATACAGTTAACCAAGAAGTCACCAGTTATATTAGTCCATTTACATTTCAAAATGATTAGTCATTTTTGTTGTTATGATCAACATTACATGTCAAATAATGAAGATGATAGTGTGTAGGAAGTTTGGCATACTTGCTGTGAGTACAGGATACTGTATGATCCTTCTAAGTGAATACTGCTGTGGCCTAGCTACTGTTTAGAAATTACTTTTGGTCTTACAACAACAACATTTCAATATGTGATCATTAATACAAGTCACTGTACAAAGTGTTTCATGACTTCAGGAGGTTATGCCTGAGAAGATTCTAAAGAGAAGAATGTTATATGAACATGGGTATGATTTGTGACAGTTACAGAGATGACTTAGGAAAGTTAAGATTCTTTGAATACAACTAATATATTTATTGTGTCAAGAAATAGCACTTAATAGTTGTGCATGATTTTGCATGCCCTGAACTTTCACCTTCATTCACATAAATCAGGGTGGCTGAAGTCATGTGATCACAGTGGTCGTATCAGCGGTCCACCATGGTCCATCCAGTGACCAGGAAAGCTGTGTATTGAAACTGAAGATGTGCATTTTGAACATTTATTATAGCAGTGAAAGCCCAGGGTATGTAAAATCATGTACAACTCTTGTCATTTCTTGTTACAATAAAAGTGTCTCTTGTATTCATAACTTCTGAACTCTCCGTACCCATATCTCTGTAACTACTTAGAACTGTGATCATGTTTATGTAATATTCTTTACTCAAAATGACCTTAGGAATAACCTCCTGTAATTATGACATAGATTTGTGAAATCTGTATGTTACAGACTGCAGCCACATTTTGATACAGACTGTCAAATCTTATCATCAGCCTCATGCAGTTGCTTTGTTGTGCAATTTAATGTGAGATATCCATGCTATACAAAATGAAGCCCTTGAAGTGCTTGTATGTAGGTGGGTCAGAAAGTTTCTGCAGTTATTTATTTTATATGAAGATAGGAGCACAGACTCCCAAATGTGGAAGTGAAATACTGACTTTCACCAGTTAGTTGCACTGTTGTCACAGCAGAGTTTGCATGGCCACTCTGATACAATTGTGGGCTGAAGTGTACCAGGGACAGAAATCCATTTCTAGACTTTCAACATAATATGGAAATGGTGGTTTACCACAGCAAAATTTGTACGAATGGATAATTGTGTTCAATAATGGTCACACGAGTGTCACTGGTGAAGAATGATCAGGATGCCAGTCAACAACCATTACAGATGGAAAACATTGAATGAGCCCATTTCATGATTCTGGGTAATCTATGGCTAACTGTTGATGAAGTGTTACATTATCTGTCCATCAATCGTGGTTATGCTCTTGGAATCAACCAAGAGTGATTTAGGTTTCATAAAGTTTCATAAAGTCCAAAACTACTGACAGGAAAGTATAAGCTCAGTTGTTTGACAATCTGCCAAGGCATTTGAAATCAGTATCGTAATGAAGGTAATGCTTTTTTCGAAAAGCAGTGTCATGGGGATGAGATGTGTTTCCACCATTACACTCCAAAAAAGCAGGCACTAAAGCATGGAGTGCAAGCATGCAACGTTGGGGGAAAAAAGTTCAAAACTCAACCATTGATGATAAGAGTGTTGGCACATTTCTAGGATGCACAAGGGCCAGAATGAGAACAATATAAGACATGAAACTAGCAGGCATTTCAGGAATAAAAAGAGGGAATATCTGAGACACTTGATGAGCTTGCAACGAACAGTAAGAACAAGAACATTAGAGACCTGTAGAGAGGAATAAATGACTTTAAGAGGGGTTACCAACCTAGAAATAACTTAATGAAGGATGAGAATGGTGATCTGCTTGCAAATTCCCACAACATTTCGATTAGGTGGAAGAACTGTTTCTCTCAGTTATTGAATGTACATAGGGTCAGTGATTCAAGTCCCGATGAGGTCATTGGATTTCTTTCAATTAACCTAATCCTTGCAGCCACACTATGGCCCTGGGGTTGACTCAGCCTCTAACAGAAATGAGTACCAGGAATTAATTAAATAATTTTCCTGGAGAGTAAAGCGCAGCTGGCGCGTAAGGCTGACAACCTTATCACCATCTTTGAGCCGATTGTCTAGATAATGTGGAACCCTCAACGTCTCACAACCCTATGGGCCTTCATGGCCCAGTACAGGGATAGCTTTACTTTACTTACTTTTACATAGGGTCAGTGATGTTAGGCAGAAATACATGCAGCTGAGCTGTTAGTACCTGATCCTAGGCCTTTTATGGGTGAAATTGCTATTACAAAATTGGAAAGGTATAAATCGCCAGGTAGTGATCAAATTCTGACAGAACTTGTTCTCGGGTGAGAAGGGGCAGTTTTGTAACCCTACTGAGAGAGGGGCATAGCAGTAAACAATGTCCATTATAGTGAAATGCTTCACAACCAGTTGAAACCAGTTATTTGAAACAGACATTGAGGACTGTTGTCAAAAGGTACAGCCAAGTTGCATGAGAATGGTTGTCCACACACTGCTGCCCAGACCACTGAGATTCACTGCTAACTGAATTTTTAGGTGTTGGAACATCTTCCTTATAGTCATGATCTGGCTGCTTCTGTCACCTGTTTTGTTCACTCAGAGATTGTTTGAGAGGCCACAGTTTCACAAGTGGCCAAGAAGTGTGCGTGGCTTATCACTCAGTTTTTCCCCCCTGGTGCCTACAGAAGCTTGTGGGCCACTGGACGTAGTGTGCTGAACAGGAAAGGAACTATAGAGAGTAATGATGCTGTTGTACATACTCACTGTAATTGAATTATTTAATAAAAAAGTAATTGCAGATACTTTCAGACTCACCCTTATAACTCCACTTTCTCTTGCAATTCAGCTTATGTTTTTCTCAGAAATTCTATTTTAATATAGTTAAACACATTTGAAAGAAATTGTTATTCTTTACCTCTGAGTACTTGTAACCAGTATTAGCAACGCATCCTTTGTATCAGCATAATAACAGAGAAATTAAATTGTTAAGAATCCCTTGGAGCATACTTGAATGATTTTGGGAAGCTCTTGCAACAAAAGAATGCTGTTTTCTTTAGTGAGTATGACAGTGATAATGTAAAACGGAAAACAGATTTTTTAACTTTCACACAAATGAGAAAAATATTCATTACTTTTGCTATTCTCATGTAGATCCAAGCAAACTGTATTATTTTCTAGGTTGAGAAAGTAGAAATGGAAAATTTTTTGTGACTACAGGGGTAATTTAAATTCAGGCTGAATAGTAATTCTTCACTGAGAAAGAGTAGGGTGGTGAGTATTACCGTAAGATTCTTATATAGTTTAACAAGAAGATTGTTACATGAAGTTAGTACAATAAAATGTCCATTTTCATTTTTACCACATCAAGTAAGTTTCAACATCTTTCATGCATTCTCTGGGAACTGTGATGCCTAGTAGTAACAGAACAATTTTGCAGTGTGTAGGGGCGTTCACATCTTGACATTGACAAGCAGGCTCCAGCCTAATGCCACAATATCACTATATCCACTTCTGTCCCAGAACTTTTTGAAGCTGCCATGTATTGTGTATAATTTATATCCATACAATTACTATTAAGTCTGTATCTACATAAAAATTTGCTGTTCCAGATTTTGGAATAAGATATTGAATATGGAAGAGCAGTGGAATTAAAGCTGTGAAATCTTAACATAAGGAAACTTGGCACAGAAACCGGTAGTGAAAAGGAGGGGAAGAAGAAATGAGCAGTTCCTATCGTAGTGATTTCCGTTTGTTGCATGTGAATAGAATCTTCAATTAGTGTCTTCATTCAGTTATTTATTAACTTTATTTAGTAATAATGTAATCAACTTTAGAAGTCTTTAATGTTTCTTTTGTGGTTTATTTAATGACACCATTATTAGGTCAGATTAAATAGCATCAAATGGTAAGATGAATTACTGAATGGTGAATTGGAAAAGATTTTGACAGAATAAGTTGTGACCTAAGAAGTTACTATCCCAGCAGTTATCTGGAAAGACTAAGGAAAGTCTTGAGGAACATTTATGAGAATAGTCACTGATAGTCAAGATACCACCTCGGAAGTACAAATCTGAAGCATTATCCATTGATCCAAGTTGCTCAGCACATCACTGTCAAATGACTGAGAATGATTAGCTAAGTGAATTGTTAAGGGCTGGGGAGAAAGTCAAGATATATTTGAGGTTAATATCCTTGCCTTTGTTTGGAAGAACACAAAGCTCACAAAAACCTTTGGTTATGACAGGTGGTGCTCCAGTTAAGATGTGAATTAAGTGCCTCCTAAAAACATATCAGACACATTATCATTATGTCCACTGTAAGGAATACTTCTTAAAAAGTGTTAATCAAGTCCCAGCATGATAAGTGTTTTTATATCAGCTTGCTTTGGGCCATGAATTATCTCTAATGGACCCCATATACATCAGATATAGAAAGTATGACATGGTTCTAGAATCCAAATAATCTATTAGAAGTGACTGATGAAAACTGAAGAGTGCCCCAGAAATCCAGAACCATAGACAATATTTAGTGTTAACATGGTGATACAAGTTTGCAAATGTATTTACCAGTCCAAGAGAATGCTGTGAGTGTTTTGTTGGATGAGCTCACTGTGTGCAGTGACAGTTCACTCTTGAAGATAATACTGCCATGGTCCCAGACTTATGTCATGCACTATACAGCTCCCTTTATATATTACTGATAGGTCCTGTATATGACTTAAATGCTGAAGAAGGACAAGTGATGTATAGAATGTAAAATGTGCATACCTTTCTTACTTAGAGATTCCTCATTGACAGGAACAAGATATTGAACCTGCACATCCTTTTTGACTCCACTGAGAATTTCCTCAGCTGACTGCTCAAGGCTGATCCTTTGCAGAGGACTCAGTGGAAGTGTATAACTGGAAGTTCCCTGGAATAGCTGGCTGTTCTCAGCTTCAATAGAAAGCAACAGTTCGTTGTGGAGGTCTTGGCTTTCATTGTTGCTCTGTATACTGGCTGTGGCTTCTTGAACTTCATGAGTTGTTACAGTGGCTGCCAGAAACCTTTTAAAATGCTGTTTCATTTTCTGAAATTTTAAGACAAACAGATGTAAAAACGATTCAGTTCACATACTCGTATATGCACCAAATTTGCTGTTGAACTGTCCGACATGTGGGTGCTAACAGAACCAAACAAAAACAAATAATATGTAAGTGTAGAATCTGTGATATCAAACTTCCCTTGATTTCAGGGATTGTACTAAAACATCATTAATGCATGTTATGAAAGACTAAATATTTCATAGAAGTTCTGATTGCAAATAGCCAAAGAAAGGAAGTCTCTGAACAAACTTACAATACCTCATTTTTTTAACTTCCTTTATCAAAATAGAGAAGTTAGTGAATATTACAAACTTGAATCTTTATGATTTAATGAGCAAAATTTGAAGACACTTTTGTAACTCCTTTTGTTAATTTAAAATTGACAAAATAAAATGAAGCAACACATGTCATTGTAATTTTTTCAAGGTGTTAATATATTTCATTTATATCATTTTGAGATATTTTATCATTCTAAATTTTACATGTCTGTCTAATCATCTGTAACTTCTTATTAAGAAGCTGTGAAAAAATGCACGTTTTAAAGCAGGTCTGCGTTGATATTTTGTTAATAGCGAAAGTAAACTTCTGTGGGAACCTTCCACGTTCTAACACCCAGCTTCGTCGGTCTAACAGACAGCATTCAACTTCTGTTCAAGCCAAGTCAATGTGAAATTGGCCCACGCTACTACTCGTACTAGTGCAAGCACAGCAAAACAAACGGCCCTTTTCGGGGCCCGCAAACTTGTGAGCAACATATGTATATTGAGATGACTTCGCAACTATTCTGTACATGTGAGAATAATATATACAATTGTTATAGTTTTACGTGGTTGTCTCTTAGAACATTGACATCCCACACTTCAAAATTCATTTTTTTATCCCATCATCAAAGAATTTCAAAAATAAGAATAATTCAAGTATTCTTACCTCCACTGTTTGGAAATATTTATTACTCTCTGCAAGTACCCAAAGGTGACCTACTCCATTAGGTGCTTTGTTGCCTTTTTGGAAATGTGGGCTGATCGATAGGTTGTGACGGACAGAATTCTTCCATCTGTCGTCATCTGGTTTGTAAAACGGAAAGTGTTCCCTGTAATGAAATGTAATATATTTCTATCAGTTAATGTTAATAGATATCTTTGGCAAATAAAATATGAACAGTAAAATGTGATATCAGAATGAAAACAAGATTTGGCAAGGCCAGCCAATTTCCTTCCCTATGCAAAAATCATTACTTGTTAAATAATCCATGAACCACATTATGCCAAGCACAAACGATTTTACAGACACTTCTCAAAATACAACATGGACAAGTTGATTGCTGGTTAGGTCTGCCACAAAATGGTAATGATAAATTATGTAATTTATCTTCACTCTAGAGAGGTATAGCATGACAATTTCTACTTAAAGTAGTGAAGAAATCGCATATTATAATATTGTAATTTTTAAGGATGTACATAGTATATTGTTGGGGTTTAGTGTTCAAATGAGGAGGTAACTACTCGTATTATTTCACATTTTAAATGCGAGTAGCATGGTTACAAAATGATAGGCGGATTCGCATTCGGGAGTTGAGAAAATTTTCGGAAGTGTTTCGTAGATCTCGGTCCATCTAGCTGTATACCGAGTGTGTCTTCAATAAACTACACTTTGTTACTTGCATATCGCTTAAATTTTCCGCTTTCATTCCTCAGGTGATGCTACATAGTCACAATAATTGATACAGAGTGGTTAAATGACCAACTAAACAATGCGCCTATAAAAAATGGATAATTTATAATCCAGCCAGAACTCGTAAACAATATAATGAGAAAAGGGGCTGAGGCGTGAAAGAACGTGAAGCCTATTGCAGTAACTGCGGCTATTGTGCTTGGCCATGTTAAATATTATTTATGAGAAATAACTGTTCGTCCGTGTGTTTCATTTACGAACTTCTCAACGAATTTTGACAAAAATTAGGTATGCTGTAAGACGTCTGTGTAATTTATTTTTTGTCGCACAGGTTTAATACCATCTCTGTTTTGTCTACGTCACCTACTTTAAACGAATTACAGTAATTGCATTCTCCCTCCACTTTTTATTTTGGTGTGCACTGCTGAATCCACCCTAACGTCTTTTACGTGGGCCGTGCCATAACTCAGGCGGTTAGTCGCTGGCTTCCGACCGCGGCGGCCCGGGTTCGAGTCCGAGTCAGGTCATGCGGGATTTGTGGTGGGCGAAGTGGCACTGGTCAAGTTTTCTCCGAGTACTTCGGTTTCCCTTGCTCCACAATCACCTTCATCTATCATGTGGGGTTGGTACAATAGGCCAGTAGTGGCCGTAGTACCAAGTGGACTCAGTCTCACCCCGCTAATAAAATAATAATAACAATAAACTTCCTTTACGTCGTATGAGTCCATTAAGAAAAGTCTGGAACGCGGGAGACTGTCGACACATGGATGGCGCCGTGCCATCCGCGTCATGGTACCATTCACTGGGGGTGCAGCCATCCAGAATCATCCATGCGTCAAATCGTCGTGTTTTAATGTGCGTGTACGTGCCATGAGGTGAACAAATCGTTCTGTGTCCTCCAGGCTCAAAGGATAACAGGTTAGATTATGATAATATATACAATCATCTCTCCCTCCTCTGAGCTCGTGGCTGCTATCCTTCCATCCCCACCTGTCTATGAATATCACACGAAACCGGAAGAAACTGATGTGTATGAGTCCTTGCAGGGGTGACCGTATCAATGGGTGCACAATGCAGTACTAAGCACCACCAGCCACCTAGCCCCTATTTCGTGCCTACAGGAAATGCGTTACTAATTCTGTTTGCTTACAGCTTTGAATGAATTTAACGATATGCTACACTCATTACTGATAAATGTTGAAATACCAATTCAATTGAGATTAATTAATTAATGGAAATTAATATCTGAACAAGACTGGAAACGGATACTCAAACACAAATTTGGAGTATTTTCAAAGTGCGTTCTTTGCGGTTCTGTGTATGTTATTGAGTTTAATCAAAGCAAATTCTATTATTGTAAACCTGACCAACAATAAATGTTCCACACTATACAGAATAATATATTACGGTGGCCATGCCAACGGAGAGTGCAGAAGTTGCACACTTGAGGCCTTAAACAGAAATGTAGCGCAAGTTATATTTACATTAAACACGTGAAATATATACCAATATATGTTATCTTCACTGACGATATCCCCACTTTCTGTGTTGTGCCGATTATAATATAAGTAATTAAATATAATACACATAACAGGATGCAGTCTGTAAAATTCAAAGACTACTTTTTGTCGTGTTTACATAGAGATGAATATGATTCCGTGATAGTTGAGATAACTGATTCACGGAATTACAGCATTTTGGAAGCAATTTAATACATTTAGTTTAGTGTGGAAATGCTAGCGCACACTGGTATAATTTCGTGGGACGCAACCTCATCAACCGCACATTTACAACTTCTTTCGACAATCAGTTTCTGTCTATTTGTGACGAGATGTGAGGACGGTAAGCATAATAGTATTGGTCTGTTTGTCTCTTTACTCTTGGTTACTTTATAGTTGGCATTTGGGCTGTTGAATAAGCATGTAAATAAATAAAGAATTTAATTGAATTATGGTCAAATAAGTCGTAATTATGAAGAAAGCAGTCTTCTGGGATTTGGCACCGTGTATATGTGGTGTTAACCGACGTTTCGGAGGAACGTATCGCCTCCATCTTCAGGGTAGAAGAAAAAATATAAGAAATCTGCAAGCGAAGAGACCGTGAGAAACGGTAAAAGCAGACATATACACGGTGCCAAATCCCAGAAGACTGCTTTCTTCATAGTCACCGCCGTGAAAGCCTCAATCTTACAAGTCGTAATTAATTATTCTAATATTTCTTATAGGATTCCTTTCAGGTTTCCATCCTCGGAACACGTGCGGGTTGCCAGCTGATTTTAATTTACAAAAGAGGCAATGATAATAACCCCTATGTAGTAAAAAGCGTCGGGTTATGAGCCATTATTGTTACTTCGATAGAAGTTCAATGACCGTTACAAGCAAGGCATCTCTTGAACGTAAATTTCAATAGCAAAATATAGATGTTTAGAAACAGAGTTGAGACCTTCCTTACAAACTTAGAAACGACCGTAGAGTCTATCAATTTTCCCGGAGAAGAATAATAAACTTCATATACGACTTCGAATATACTATATGTGCAACTCAAATTTTCGAATTATGGACAAGGCCTGTAAACAATTCTCATGTGTCTGTTCCAGCCTCGCTCTTCCTATGCACTTACAGGTGGCAGTAAGATAGAACTCAGTAAGCCTTAACAACATGAAGTAAAGATTAATTGTCCCTGTGCTTAACGAATTAAGCACTACGTCACGAAAGCGCATAGGGAGTGGATGTATAGATCCACATTTTCTTGACCTCAGCACTAGTTGGAGGCGAGTGGTCAGCTTCACGCCCCTGCTGCTTTACCCCCGGGGAAAGTGTCCCCGGTACCCATTGGATAGGACGCTGAGTGGGCCCCAGAGCCGGTCTGGACAACGTAAAGAAGATAAAATTCTTGACCCTACCGGGACTCGAATTCCGACCCCTCGACCGTCCAGCCCGTAGCCAGTCGCTATACTGACTACGCTATCCCTGCTCCTCTTACACACGTAAAGGAAAGTTAATTATTAAGATTTCTATTTTCTGGGATACAGTCTCCTTTAGTCCGCTGAAAATCAACCGACTTTTCGGAGAACGTGTCGCCTCCATCTTCAGAGTCGAAGAATACGCCAAACAAGAAACTAGCTTGAAGCACTTAGTAAGCAGCGCTCGTACGGGGAGTGGACTTTAGGCTCCGGCATTCTTTACCTCGGAGTTAAGTGGAGGTGAGTGGTCAGCTTACGAGCCAGCTGCTTTACCCCCGGGGATGGAGCCTCCGGTACCAGTTCGATAGGAGACTGGGTGGGTCTCAGAGCCTATCTGGAGAAGAGAATATCTGTTACCCCCTGCCGGAAATCAAACCTCGGCCGTCCAGTCCGCAGCCTGAGCTATCCCTGTTCCTAAACATTTTTATAACATTACAAAATTACCTTAGGTTTTGCATCTCAGCACCATATGGACCAATCAGATTAGTGATGAAATTCTATCACATTTCTCACTTCATTTCGTTAATGCGCAGGCTGGCGTGCTGCTAGTGTGCATTCATTTCTTTGTTAGGAACATGCTACAGTGACATCGGGGCATTTTGAAGAAGCGCGAATTTCCCTAATGGCGATAACGTGAACCCTCTGATCTGTTCCTGTTTTGTGTGGAAGGCGAAGGTTGTGGGGGCCCCTGTTTCCCGCACTCCGTGCTAGGTACCAGATATTGACTGAACGCCGAGTAAAGTCAGGAGTCGCCAATGTAGGTGTTCTATCACATCGAATTATGTCAAGCTGGATCATATTGCAAATCAATATGCGAAAGAAGAGATCCATATCATTCAGAACTACTTTCCATGCTTGGTTCCTGGATCGTTTAACGTCTAAATTTTGCTGCGGTATATTATGGCTGGCTTTAGGGTTCTTTTGTTGAGAACTTGAGGTATGAATGATCGTGACGAATTTAATATAAGGAATTTGTTTAAGGAAACAAAAACTTGAGTCATTGACAGATAATGTATAAGTAATATATGCACCTATTGCACCCTCTACTGTGCATTTTTTACTAGAGGTGTGTGAAGGCACACAATACTGTGAGTTTTTCAGAAATAAAATATTATTTAACATTATTTAACATATTCAACAACCAAATTGAGCCAATGGCATGAAATCATGCCAGATGTCTTCAAAGAGGGCAGTTGGTTCGAAAATTGAAAGGGAGATGAGCACTGACGCGAGTACTGGAAGATCTTCCATAAAAAAGAAAAGGAGCTGACTATAGCAGTCACTCGTCAATAATTTGGATTATAGCCTATGTGAAATTTCGATGGTTTCGGGGCTTCAAGTGCGAAAATTAAAAGAAAATGAACGTGAATAGAAAAGAAATATATGCAATAAAAGAAGCGATAGACTTGAAAGTATTCTGACGATGGTGTATGCTGTACAGAACTATTAGGCTTATTTTGGACTCTATCCATCGTCTGGTATATATAATACAAAAACCCACAACGTTTCGGAGACTGGATCTGTCTCCGTCCTCAGATGGATGGGGCACGATAGACCTTGTCGTGAACAAAACCTCGAGGAGTGTATTCTCGTAACGTCGCTTTATTACTCTATACGCCGTAACTACAAGTCAACGTAACTATAACACAAAATGTTGAACTAGTCGTTTCACAGTCGCTCTTTCGTAATATCAACTCTCACTATACTGTAGAACAGTCGAACTCTCCGTACTGACTTCCACTGTCTTCTGTCTGGCTTCACAATCCACACACACTCGCCCTCGGCACCACGCACACACTCACTCCTCCTGGCTGCTCTTTGTCTCGGCGCACTGTACATACAATGGCTCACACCGCTCAGCCGGCCTCTTATACTGTTCCCTGTTGCCACGTAGTAACCGCGGTGTCCCTGTTACGTCACCGCTGCAATGATTGCCTAACACAATTGTTCTACTGTTACGTCACCGCTGGCACCGCGTGTTACCGCGTCGCGCGGAGTGCACGATCCTCAACAGACCTACTCAGTTGGGTCCGTTAAAAAGAGATGAAAGTGATTGAGACTATCTCTTTCTAACGGGCCCAACTGTGTAGGTTTAACCTGCCCCATCCACCTGAGGACGGAGACAGATCCGGTCTCCGAAACGTTGTGGTTGTTTGTCTTATATATACCAGACGATGTATACAGTTCAAAATAAACCTAATAGTTCTGTACAAAAGAAGCGATATTAAGACGAATAAAATATACAGCAAAACTTCTAACAAATTTTCTTACTTAGAAATGGGCAAGACTGGAAATTTTTATTTCTATTGAGGGCACATACTGGTTGCTATTGCGCACATCCCATTGCACTTTACATTTATTTATTTTATTGACACTGTATTGTTGCAAAGAAAAATTTTCAAACGTTAAAGATTACATTGCATATGCCTAAGGTCACAATTAATTCTTTCTTGTGTTCCGTTAAGTATTTCCTATGTATATTGTGAAATATTTCAAATGAAAGTTCTGATATAAGCGATATCTCTATTTCATGTCATGTACATTTTTTTTTTGTGTGTGTGTGTGCTAGGTCTCTTTTAAGAAAATGATTATACAATTGGAAATGGAAAATTTATCATGAATTGCAAATAGACGAGGATTTGAAAGTTGTCGATCGTGACCTATTTTAAGGTACCATCTCTGTTATCACCTGGAGAAATTGCACGCTCTAAGTTAGAATAGCCGGTAGCTCAGCTGACAATGAATTTGGAACCGAGAACTTTCCAGTCTTTGTTTAAAAAGGAAATGAATGGAGAAATATGCTGTTTTGGGTATTCTTTGACTATTAAAAACGAAAGCGACAGGGGGATTTTTTCTGCCATTTATATTCCGGATATTTATATTGATAAGTAAATCTAGATGTATAGGCCTATGTATTATGCACAAACGCTAGTCAAAAAGAGTCATATTACTTACGAAATCCACTTATAGATTTCTGATGCCGTAAGTTCTCCTTTCTCTTTAAGAGCTTGTTGAATAAGTTCAGTGTAGGTGAATGGTGGCTTCATGAACCCAGGGTAAGAGGGATTAGTTTCCCTTTGCTTTGCACTGGGCTGTTCGGTTTTCACGTTAACGTGGGAATCTGAAAGAAACAAGCGGACTTATTGAGACTGTGTCTTATGCCGTTCTGACGCCTGGGGTTTTTGCTTGATGACATGAACTTAAGCATACGTATAAAACAGCATGTTACACACATACAACTTTGTTCGTACATAGCATTCTAAATTCATAGATACACAAATACATAAACATTCAGATATAGGCCTCTGCATACATGCATTAGCGAATAAGACCAGCCCGGAGAAGCAGGGATGGTAATGGCTATTCAGAACTCGACAAAGGGATCAGCCATTCGCAAGGCCGCTACCTACTCACAGGACAACACAAACACAGAATAAACGCACAGAGACTTTCATGCCTGGAGTGAGATTCGAACCCACGATCCCACTGTTCCAGCAGGCGAAGACGGTTCACGCTTTAGACCGTGCGGCCACTGTGATCGCCATCTTCATAAGACGGGCCACGCAGTCCACCAGATAAAGATATATCTCACCCGTGTTTAAGATAGTTTACTAGAATGCAGGATAAAGCAGTAATATATGAATTCCAGATAAATGTTTTCGAAATGTGGTAAAGTACTTCATACTTCATCCAAATCAGATTATTCTATCATTTCACCTGCTTCACACAAACAGCGTTAAAAATTACATTATAACACTAAGTTTATAAATTTTGCTTTCTGTTTTACGTGGGCATGAGGCTTGGTTTCGCTTTCTATCTCTGAAGTACGAGCACAGGTTTGAATACAAATTTCAGAAGATATTTAAACACAGAAAGGCATAGGGACAAAAACTGAGAAAATTTCATAATGGGGAGCCGAAGAGTACAAATTATTTGCAGTTTCTCCAACCTCCTACCACTTAATCCTTCTTCGGTCAAAATATTCACCTGAGCAAACTGTTCTCAAAGATCCTCCGTGTATGTTGTTTCGAAGCTCGAGACATTTTATACTCATTGAAAACCACAGGAAAATTTATAGTTTTGTATATTCTAGTTTTTACATTGTTATACAGCATGCAAGAAGGCATAAGGATCTAATCTGAATGGTAGCAAGCTACAGAATTAACTGTAGATAATTACATGTTTAAGATATTACGTATATTGCATAACACAGGACTCGTGAACACTGTGATAAACCTTCGAACTACATAACAATTTACAATTTCTAGACTACGTGAAGAAAGAAGACCCCGCAGTATAGCATTACTTAATATAAAATACAAAATCAAAAAGTATATCTGAAGGGTAATTTCGAGATTTTCAGTACATACCTGAACACGTAGTTACTTTCCTTCTTCCGTTAGATACGTGATCTTGCTGGACTTCAGCTGCATTAAAGAGAGAACCAACTTTAAAATTTATGAGCCAAGAAAGACTTTTGTCACAATTGTTTTCAGCATTATTGATATGTTTGTATTCTCCGTCTGAATGCGTCGTTATTGGAGTAGGTTCAAGAAAAGCCTCACGTTCAGTCGTTTCCGAACTGTGTCTTATTACACAATCATCTTCAGTACTAATTTCTGATCTACTGCTTTCACTGCACGGAACACAAAACTCATTCAAAGCATCAAGATTTGGTAAAGTTACACTGCACATTTCACCAATAATTGAAGGAACTGTTTCAGCCGTATCCCATTCTCCATTAAAAACCAACACTTCTAGACCTGTTGGGAAGCTGTTGCTTTCTGTGTCTGAACCATTACGTTCAACTCTTCGTCTCTTCGAACACATATTTTGATTTTCGTTATCCATTGTAATCAGGAGTTCACTGGAGAGTTTTCTCTTCTCTGTATCTGTATTACTACACTTTAACAAATCCATATCAGATGTTCTTCAAGAAAATCACGCTGAATCTCTCAACTAGCACCTTCGCATTTGAAGAACCCGGACGACACTAACCAACAATACTGCCTGTGTGACGTTTAAGTACAGTTGGATTTCTGTCACCCTAGCAACCTGTACAGCAGCGAAATGAACGTCACTGCATATCACTATTGCCATCTTTACGCAGCTACTAGTCAGGAACTAATCACATTGCGCATAGATGGCAGAAGTAATGCTGTCTGGACGGTCTGGACGTCAAGGCGACCAAGGTGACCATGTAGTCCGCCAATAACTTTGCTTGTTAGATATCCGTGAATGGAACCAGCTTCCATTAGACAAAGGATCTTCCCCTTCTGAGAAGCAGGACTTTATACGCATCTGTACGGACTTTAAAGCATTTTCTATCATGACAGTGACGCCACGATAACATGACTCTTAATATAATATGTTGATTATTAATTTAACTGTTTCTCGTAAAATGTATTGGGTCAGTTATCATGTTTCATATTTCGTCCCTCATGATTGTCAAATGATCTTTATGCTCGCAATTCACGGAAGACTAACTTGGTTACCTAAGAAAAGTAGATCATATGTGTGGCGTATTATCCATGGTGTGTATGTTAGAAATAAGTACGTGTTTGGTCTGTGACTTTGATCTTGCAAATTCATCGCGTTTCAAATGTAAACTTCAGTATTAAATTCCGATTTTTCTCTTAGGTTTTGAAAAATCGTAATAAGTTTCTCCTTTTAAATTAATTAATTAATGAAACATAATTATGGACGTAGACAACGATATAGACCAAACTCTTCTGCAGCAGTTTAGTTGTCTGGGTACAACAGATAGGGATGAATTAGTAAAGCAACTACAAATGTTGGTCGGAAATAATTTGAATGAAGCTGCGGCCGCATTCTTTTTGGACATGAATAACTGGTAGGTGTATTAAATCTCATTCTGATAGTTGTCATGATTCTGTTTCATGTAGTACACATGCTTTGTTACGTGTACCTGCCAAGGCCCTGACATACAATAACCTTTAGCATGAGTTCATTCGGTATGTCATTTCATGCATCTGCAGCTGTATAAACGTGATCTTATTCTGAACTGTAGTATATGCAACTTGTTCAGCTATCTATTTTCTCATAAAATTTGCTTATGAAATTAAATTGAAAACGTTATTTATTTGAGATCATTGAATAGCGACAGAATATTTCACAAAAACTTCACAGTTTAAGAAACAATAGCTTGATAGCCACTGCTATGAAATAAGGCTTAGTTGGGCAGAGTGAGAGAGACTTGATATGTAAGGTTAAGCTCTCTAGGTGGGTACATAAATCTGATAACATTGTTATTGGTTGTACTTTAGTTGTTTATTTCATTTCAGGAATTTACAGGGTGCAGTTTGCTCTTATTTTGACTTTGAATCTCCACATAAATTGCCTTCAATGTCGTTAGTGAAAGATATCACTATTGGGGAAGGTGAAAGTATACCACCATGTACAAAGTGAGTACCTGTGTGAATACAAGTAAGGGACTTCATTGAACTCATTTCAGTTTTAAAGGTGTTTCATAAGGTCTGAGACTGCTTTGTTCATTGTATTTTTGATATGATTGGGGTAGGATATGAATGTGGGTCAGTACTACTTTTGTCATATTGTATTTGCATGGGTGTATAACCTTAAGTCAGCCCTTAAGCATTCAGACCTCTCCTGTTCTACTGTTATGTCCTCAGTGTTCCTTAGGCTCTTTAAAAGCTTTGACTGTAATTAGGGCCAAAACCCTGTATATTGAGATCCTCTTAATATCCATCAGCTCTACTCGTGGAGAGCCAAGTTTGGCGTTGATATATTGCCCTCTTCTCATAGACTGCTGACAGTGGAATATCCCAGACACCTTGTCATTCACCAGCAGAGACATCAGAGCCACCCACCACTGGCCCCAGCTCACTCTTCAATTTTCCCTCAGAAGAGAGTTTTCCCTGATCAGCCTTTTCTGCTGGTCAGGCATTTCTACTTCATAGGCATTCTACTCACCCCCCATCAAGAGACTTTGGTCTTACTGTTATGGGTCTCTCATGAAAGCCACTGAGAGCTGATGGTTGCTTCCTTTCGGCAGCGGGAGACCAACATCAGAGCCCTCTGGTGCCACCGACATCAGGATGTCTACAGCTACACACTGTTGTTCACTGACAGATACAGCTGACCCTCTCCACCACTGGTCTAATCTAGAGCTGTAACTCAGCTGCAGCAGAGGCCTCAATTCCTCTATTGGCCTCACCAATTTTCTCTAGATACTCAGGTTATTCATCCCTGTCAATCAGACCTCTCACAGACTGCCCTCAGTGGACCCTTTCCAGAGCCCCTGAGAGATTTGACTCTCTCTTCCAAACAGCAGAAGACCCAACACCTGAGCCCATGAAAGCAGGGAGAGAAACTCCCTTCCATCCTCCCTCAAGTGCTGATGGCATAGACCCTCCAGCTGCCCTGCCTGCATGTCAGGGGCAGCAGAGACCTAATCTGGTCACAGCTACATCCATAATTGAGCACCAGATGAGGCTCCAGCACCCAAGACCAGAACCCCCCACCCTACCACAGCTGCTAGACTGGCTGCTATATCTTGCAGTCAGGCAGAGTCCCAGAGGAATTTGACTGCATCTCTGTAGCAGGAGAACACTTGATTAGCACCTGAGTCTTTGAAAGCAGTCAACCCCCCCTTCCCCCAGGGTATTCACAGTTGGGACCCATTATATTACAAGATGGACAGCAAAGTCCCTTCCTGGTCCCTGTTAGACCCGTAGTTGAGCATCAGACAAGGTCTCAGCTCCCAAGACTGGGATAACCCCCACCCCCAAGCCTGCCTCATCTGCTAGCGTGTCAGTTTTTTTTATAACCAGATTACTCATTCCCATTAAAAGCCATCAGTTGGACTCCAACTGGAACAATGATGGCAGGGCCCTCTAACCATATTTGCTACATGCTTCAGGGATATCAGAACCCCCACCTCCGAAGTGGACCCCTTCCCCCCTCTGCTGCCTCTTCAGTGCTTTTCAGTTATTCTTTCGGATGGTTGGATTATCCATTCACATCAAATGATCTCTGTCAGTCTTCTCGTCAATGGACCAGTCCCTGAGAGGTCTGGCCATTCCCATAGCAGCAGAAGACCCAGCAAATGACCCCTCTAATGTAGGAATACCTGACCAAACAACTAGGCCCTCCAATCTTCGAAGAGAAAGCCTCACCCTCAGTGGATCCTCATTAGAGTCCCTGAGAGCTTTTGTCTGCTGCTTAGTGTATGTATATCTGTGTGTGTATTTGCATGCTTGCATGTGGAGGGTTGGAAGACTAGCCTGCAGTGGGATGCCCCCTTGTATCCAAAGGACACCATTCACCACACTGCTCCCTCAGTGGTCATACAGGCTTCAGTACATTAGCTTACATCTTACCTTAGGATGTGACCACTCATAGTCAGCGATGTCACCCCATTTGCCCACAGGTAGGGCGGCATGCTGGTTCTGGGGACTGCCATGAGGAAGTTGGTTGGGTGACTTAGTCCCCACTCTCTTCTTACATTTAGCCCAAATCGGTATTTGAATATCATTTATCATACTACTAAAGTAGGTATTGTCAAATAATGTGTGTTATGAAATGGATGCAGTAAATAACAGTGCATAATGACCACAACTTATATTCTTCACATTGTAAGAATGTGGTGTCATTAATTGTATCTGTCAATGGTTGGGTATGATGTGAGGTACATTCTGCTACTAGTGGATATGCTTTCATCCCTGCATTGCACATGTATGTATGCAGTATTTAGTGTGGTAGAGAAACACACAAACTTTATTGACGCAAGTAAGGAGGTTGGTCTAGAAGTAAACAGAGAGAACTAAGTATATGTACTATCTCATCACCAAAGTGCAGGGCAAAATCAGTACATAAAGATAGGAAACAGATGTTTTGAAAATGTGGCACAGTTCAGATACTTGGGAACGACTATAATAAATCAATTCAGGAGGAAATTAAGAGGAAATTGAACTCTGGTAATGCTTGCAACCATTCAGTTCAGAACCTTTTGTCTTCTTGTCTCCTGCCTAAAAGCATAAAAATTAGAATATACAAAACTATAATTTTGCCTGTGGTTCTGTATGGATGTGAAACTTGGTCTCTGACATTAAGGGAGGAACATAGACTGAGGGTGTTGGGGAACAGGGTGTTGAGGAGAATATTTGGACTGAAGAGAGATGAAGTGACAGGAGGTTGGAGAAAACTGTATAGTGAGGAGCTTCATAACTTGTACTCTTCTCCAAGTATAATTAGAATGATCAAGTCAAAGGGGATAAATGGGGAGAAAAGGAATGCAAGTAGGATATTGGTCAGAAAGCTGGAAGGAAGGAGACCACTGGGAAGACCAAGGCATAGGTGGGTGGACAATATTAAAATGGATCTTAGAGAAATAGGATGGGATGTTATGGATTGGATTGATCTGGCTCAGGATAGAGACCAACGGAGGGCTCTTGTGAACATGGTAATGAACCTTCAGGTTCCATAAAATGCTAGGAAATTCTTGAGTAACTGCACAATTGACAAGTTTCTGAAGAAGGGCTGAGCTCCATGAATGAATGAGTGGTAGAAGGTAGGGTTCAGTTATTACTGTCCTCACCTTCCAGAAGTACTTGCAGTGGCATTTAAATTGTTGGCCCACATTAGTTAAAAGAGAAAACATGGTACCAAAGAGATTAAAGTTCATGTTACTGGCTTCATTACTTTATCAACAATTGTAGTGCAATGAAGTTTAGATGCAAGGAATTGATTTTGTAGCACTGAATCTCCTTTTTTGCATAGCCTGAGTTACAGAACTACAGGGATTTTGTAAGTCTTGAGATGAGGAACCTGATTGAATCATTAGGGCGAAATGACTCAAGAGATAAGCAGACATTGAATAATGTAATGCCACTGATGTGCAATTAAATTGATCTCCATACAAGTTTATCAGTTTGAGAAAAAAGAAAATTGAGATGTGTAAATAGACAGATGGTCACCTTCCACAGGCCAAAATGGGCAGGATGTAGAAGAAGTCACATTCAGAAAATACTTTGAATTACTATACAATTAAACTAGTGTGTCCAAAATGGTGTTCCACAGAACACTGGAGTTCCATGAAGTGAAAGTAAGAGTTCCACAAGAAAATTTCATCTAATTTAAGAATTTGAGTATCATTATGAACTTCACTTAAAATAATTTTAAATTTTGTGCACCTTCAGATTAAAAATTCCACTTTAAAAGGAGGGGTGTATATTTGCCTCAGGGCAAAATTTTTACCAGGATGTGCAATTTGTCAGCCATTACGCTTTGCCATCATATACTTGTGCAAAATTGGATTCTCAGATTGAACGACAAGAAAAACAAAATTAATAAACAGACTATATGTAGTGGTAGATGTGAGAACTCAGCTGTCTAATTCATTCATTCATCAGTAATCTGTCAGATGACAGGTCCACAGTCTCTTCCAAAACAGTTCCTCCACTTAATGCAATCTACAGCTTTCTCCTTCAAATGAGAATATCCTCTTCTGTTCCCAAGGTCATCCAGCATCTTCTTACGTCTTCTTCCTCATCTTCTGGTCACTTCTATCCACCCTTCTATCTTTCCTTCAATAACTTCTTTTAGAAGGCAGTTACTGCGTAAGATATGACCAGTCCAATTAGCCTTCCGTTTTCTTATTTCATGTAGGATATTCCTCTACTCACTGACTCTAAATAACACTTCTTCATTTCTCACATAATCTGTCCAACTGATCTTCTCCATCCTTCTCCAACACCACATTTCGAAGCTTTCCAGGTGTTTCTGATCTACTGCCCTAAGTATCCCAGTTTCAGCCCCATACAAAGCGATGCTCCAAATGTAGCATTTCACTAGTTTCTTTCTCAAATTTAAGTCCAGTTTGCAGGTAAAAAGATTCTTCTTCTTGCTAAATGCAGATTTTGCCATGGCATTGCTAGATTTAATTACACAAGTACACCTTCCATCACCTGTTAACAAGCTACCCAAATATTTAAAACATTTCACATTCTCCAGCTGTTGTTGGTCTATCTTTATTGTGACTGGGTTTGGTTGTCTCGAAATTTTCATTATTTTGTTTTTTCCACATTCATTTCCATGCCATAGCACCTTCCAATTTTGATTAGTCCATTGATCATACCCTGT